ATGATTAAAATAAAGGATGGCCTGCATTAAGTTTTTGCCACTATGTTTTCTCTCACATGGATGGCCTACCCTCACAAAATAAAGTGACTTCTTTTTCTACTTTACTTGGCCCAAACTCATTCTTTAGAGCCTGTTTATTTTCATACCTTTAGTAAAATTTCCTACCATTAGTACTTGTCTTGACCAACTTTTTGCTAAGGACAGGAGGAACCTAGAAACAACTTCAAGAAGCAGAAACCAGCACCCAATATATGATAACAATAGATTATTGAATTAGAAGGATAGATATATTTCAAATGTGACAGGGACAAAGAGATGGAAGGAAAGAGTGGAGTGGAAGGTGAAGGGAAAGTAAAAACAAATTAAGATGTGTTATGTACTTGTGCCAACTTCCCCTGATGAATGTAATCATTATGTACTGCAAATATGTAGTAATAAAAGATCTCAAAAATAAAAAATAAAAAAGTTTCAATTTAAGGACATAATCTAAGTTACCCAAATCATCCAGATCTGCACTCTCTAGGATCTTTTATACTTCTTTTCTTCTAGTCTTATCATATGTAAAATCCCTTAAATATTATTTAGTTTTGTTGAAATATAAAAGCAGAAACACCTTAATTAGAAAAATATATTCCAAGTTTCAAAGACTGTTTACAGCCAAAACACTTCAGATCACCCACCCTAAAAAAAAGACTAAGTCTTGCCTTTCTTGTGTGAAATTGGCCATCCTTTCACCTATAAAATAAGTCATTATCCTTTTACCTATGGGTGTGCCATTAATTTTCTCCTGTAAAAAGCAAGAGTGAACATTTACAGATTCACAAATGACACAGATTTCCATTCCTAGAATGTTACTTGGTTTTGTGGTTCTGAAGTCTCCTTCTATAGGTAGTTTCTAGGTTCTTTTAGTCCGAAACAAGGTGACAAGGTTTTATGTTTACTAAATTTAGGAAAAGAAACATGCTCTTCAGAGTGAATTTGGGCCACATCAAAGTAGAAAAACATGTATAGCCTGTAAAATAAGAGTGGACTGCTGTGGAAGAACACAGCACAGAATTCATTGCAACTTTCCTTTTATATTTCCTATTTCTTAGGCAGACATCTGTCTAGGCCATCCTATTTAAAACCTGTTTGAGTTCTTAGGAGAAGAATTGAAGTTAGTGCTCTCTAGATGGTTCCATGTGCAAGGCTTTGAGAACTGTTTGGTGCATTTGTTCTAGGACAATGGTGGTGAATTTATTGCATACGTGCTACAGCAAGCACGCAGAACCCTCTCTGTGAGCATAGGAGCCAAGTAACTTCAGAATGGCCTTATAAGCCACTGAGTGTCACATAGCAGCACATCAAATGCAAAATTTATCTTTCAGTAGAAAGCTCTTTGTACCATTATAAGTTATGTTATTTTGTTTTTTTTTAAAGATGTTAAGATATGAGCTGAGTTTTTCTAAACTATAACCTCAGTATTCAGGTTTAATTGTAGCATTGGCATTTTATGATCAACAACTGGGTTTTGCAGTTTGGGTACTTACTTTCTAAAAGGTTGGCCATCATTGTCCTAGGACTTTACAATTAACAAATCATTTGCATTTCCTCAGTCCATATGTCACCCTGTACTCCTGTGTCAAGGACATATAAATATTCCAACCTCTATGTTATGTCTCTCTCTTGAGGTCCTACATTCTATATTCTTTGAGTATGTACTTCAAATTATACCTAATAAAACATTGCCATCTGCCTCTTAAAATATTCCACAATATCACAAACTTTTGCAAATTGTTTTCAGTTTAACTTGTTTATAAACATCAGAGAAATACAGGTAATTATGGTCAAATAGATGATGTTAGAAAGCTTTGTGCAAAATTAGTCCAGTTATTGACGATATATAATTCTTCTGATCAAATCTCTTGCCATGAATGAGTCATGGAAGTATAGTTCACATTGAGACAATCAGAAACTAAAACAAGCAAATCTTTGGTATTTGAAATTGACCAAGTATGTTCGTTATTTTGAAAGCTCATGGGGGAAATAACATGCTATTTTAATCCAAAGAACTATTTATATTTTCATATAAGGTGCTCTCTAAATCCAAACTAAGAAGTGAAACTGTCATTTATTAGAATAGTAGTGAATGTGTGCATACATACTCTCATACACACAAGCTTTAAATTTTGCATAAAGCAAAAATAAACAAATGAAACTGGTGACCAAAAGTTAACTTAACATTTGTCTTATCAACAAGTTTCAATATTATTTCACTATCATTACTCCAAAGATTTCAGCCAGACATAAACTAATATAGAAAAAGTTACCCTAATATAAGCAAAAACATTTTATAATTAACCAACTTGCTAATGTCAACATTATTTGATAAAAGAGGTAATCTACATTTTGTTATAAGTAAATAAATGGAAGTATCATAACTGTCTAAATGATTTCAAAGGTTATCATAGCAAAACTATTTTTCCATTATACAAATATGTATGTATATGTACACAAACACCTATGCATACAAATACAGGCACATCTTTTTAAATTTTGTATAACTAATGTATACAGCATGATGTTTTGATATATAAGGAGTGACCAAAATATATGGTGAATTTAAAATTTATTACGGTTAAAGACACGTTGCTCTTAAACTGCCTCAAAATACTCCTCATTGTCTTAAACACACCTATTTCATCATTCTTGCCACTTTCTGAACCAGTTATCAAGATCCTATTCTGTAAGTATCCTTAAAGTTATGATTTAAAATACTATAAATGCTATTGCTATGTGTCAACCAATTGAAAGATAGGCTTATTGTAATATTATAGTATGTCCTCATAACTTATTAACTAGTTTTGCATTCTGCAGACTTCATGAACACACAAGGTAAACATTTTAAATCAGTTCAGTATATGTAGGTAGCTATGAGTGCGACTAGAGACACTGACAAAAGTGGATTTCTAGAACTATGCCAGAAAGTGGCAAGAAAGATGGGATAATTGTTTTCAAAGTAAAGGAGAGTACTTTCAGAAGGATTAATGACAGTGTATCTTTTACTGTAATACATTTTAAAAACTAACATTCACCATCTTTTATCTCAAGTAATGTATACATTGTGAAATCATTACTTTTGTCAAGAAAATTAACATATATATGCTCTCATCTAGTTATTTATCTGTTATTTTTTGGGACAAAATACCTGAAATCTACATTCTTAGGCAATGTTAAGTGTACAATAGACATTATTAACTATAGTCATCATGTGGTACATGAAATCACTTCACCGATGTATTCTACGTGGCTATAACATTGCATATATATATATGTAAAATTTTGACCTAGATCTCATTATTTCCCTCAGCCTGCCAACAGTTACCACCATTCTACTTTCTGTTGTGATATATTTGACACATTAAAGATTCCACATGTACACTATAAGTGAAACCAAGATGTATTCAGATAGTTACATGATACTAGTTGAAAACCCCTACTTTGAAATCCTAAATCTTCAATATTCCAAAACCTAAAACGTTTTGAGTGCCAACATGATGCCATAACAAGAAACTCTACATTTGCAATCATAAAATGGGCCACATTAAAAATGCAGTTGCACTACAATATTGTGTAAAATTACTGCAGGGTATGTGTACAAGATGTGTATGAAACATAAATCAATTTCATATTTAGTCATGGGTCCCTTCACCAAGATATCTCATTCTACATATGTAAATATACCAAATTCTGAAAATGCTTGAAGTTTGAAACACTTCGGGTCTAAAGCATTTCAGGAAAGGCATACTCAACTTATTAATGGTAAATTCTCCAAGGTTTTCTCAAGAGCAACAGTAAGTAGAATTTTGCCATAGATTTTTTTATAGTTCATCACATTTATTGTTGAGAGGCATCTTAATGGTATTACATTCCATTCTATACTTCTGAAAATTACTTCCTAAATCTTTCTATTAGGTTAGAGTACTCCAGGTTTATCTATTGCACTCCAAGAACTATTATTTTATATTTTCCCATACTTCAGATTTAAAACTCACATGTACAAACTATTGGACTTTAAGAGCCATAAAAATCTCATGATACCATCACTCACTTATGCATAATTTTGTTTAAATGGTATTCTGGATAAACTCCAAAATGATTTCATTTCAAAATTTCAATACAGTCTCATTCCGAAAGGTGTTTTAACTTACATAGAACTTTTCCATGTGAGTTATCAATATCCCAGAGTGTATCCATTACATACTTTTTGAAATTTATACTAGTAATCAATGATACATGAGAGTTAATAAACGTTCAAACAGACATAAAATACCCAGGCAACAATTAGGTACTTGATCTCTAAATTTGTTAGGGAACCACAAATCCAAAATGGCTAATTTTGCATACTTCCCAAAAGGATAAATTGGACTCTTGGGATATTGATACCACTCTTTTGAGATTTTCCATTTTCGTTTTAGGGATGGGCCATTCGCTCCCACCCACTGAAATTAAAAATAAAATCACTAAGATTAAAAACACTCCAGGGAAATATCTTTCTTAGCATAAAATCGTCTCCCTACTCTTGAGTCATCCCGTTATTCCTTTCCCTCTGAGTCATTAACCTCTGAGTCTTTCACCCACACTGAATCTTCTATTAATCCCCCATATCATTGTATATACTCAATAAATAGTGGCTAGTTTGGGGTATCTTTATCTCTGCCCATCCTGAGACACTGACCTCCCCATCCCCCTTTATGTATTACTAAATTTGTCTCTGTTTCTTATTTTATCCTTTTGCCATGCCCCTCATACAGGCAGTTGAGGATGTTTCTCTGGTCCCAAATATAAATTAATGATTCATCATATAAATTTCATTTAGTGTACCATTAATAAGATTATCAAATATTTAATCTGAGCCAATTCCAAATTCAAAGCAACTTGACTCTCTGAACAAGATTCTTTCTTCTCAAACCAAATTATACTAAAATCTTATTTGCCACACTTTTAGAACCAGTACCTACCTGTAACTTTTAGTTCAGTTGTACGTCTTACCACTTTCCCTTCATATTTAAGTTCACATGTGTAATTTCCTCCATCTTCTTCTTGAACTTCCTGGATTAGAAGAGCATTTCCCTTCTGTATTATTATGCTTCTCCACATTTTTGGCTTGCATTCCTACAAAGAATATTTTTGCAGGTAAGTGATAAATGAACATTTACATCACTGTCTCACTACTGGCAGATCAGAAATTTCACTTTTCTTGATATATCCCTTTAGTTTTCAAAATGCAGCTAAGGAGTTAAATAAATGTCCAACAACATCAAAAGTATATATTATTGTGTCTAATACAAGTGTCATAACTTTCATATAAAGAAACATTTTAAAGGCTTAACCCTAAAAGAATACTTTAGAAGCATTGTGTGAAAATAGAAAAGCATACAAGCTCCCCAAATGTGAAAGAGATACAGTAGAAACTTAGAAGTTCCTGAATCTTATAACAATGTCCTAGCTATATTTGACAGGGTTATTTCCTAAGAGTCCTAAGAAGGATGATTCCTTTAGATATTTAAAATTCATAATAAGCTTTTATACTGAGTCTTTCACCCACATTTAAGTTTCCAATTGTTTCATTCATTACTATTTATTATAAGAACTAATACTAATATTCCAGAATATCCCTCCTTGTCATCAAGAGATTAACTTGAGGGAGATAGAAATGGTCTTGAAAAATAGGTTCAAAAACTTTTCTAGAAATGCAGGTAGGTAAAATGAGGATGCATTTTGTTATAGTTACAGCATTGAATATCATTCACTACTTTGTGAGTTCCATGATACATAATCAGAAAATAAAATTTAACTTTGGAAGTCAATTCTCTTGCTATCCCAGTGGAAATTTAAGGAAATCTTACTACTTGGATTGGAATTTCCTATAAAAGAATATACATCATTTTCCAGACAGTATATTTTCCAAAAAGTGATAAACAAATATAAGAATACACTACCATGTAGCGTTGTCTGTTGGAAATTTTTTCAGACATCTTTTCATACTTTGTTTCAGTCTGTCTAGTACTCACCCCCAATTTTCAACCAAATTGGCAGCCAAATACAATATTCATTGGAAGTATAGGAGATAGATGTGAGGAAATATTGAACAATCAAAGCAAAAACATTTTATTATGTAAATTATCAAAAATTTCAGTTGAGGCAATAACAAAATTCCTAGTAAGGCAGATTATGAGGACAATAGTTGAAAGTGGTTTACAGTTTCCCCACTACATGGTATATATCTGCATCTTACCCTCCTGTACCTCCCTCTTTACCCCTCACACACATACCCTAAACATTCATGTTATGTTAAAATCAGTGCTGCCTCTAAATTCTCAGCTGTAAATAATTCTTACTCTCTCTCTCAGTCTCTCTCTCTCTTTCTCTCTCTCTCTCTTTCTCTCTCTCTCTCTCTCTCTGTGTGTGTGTGTGTGTGTGTGTGTGTGTGTGTGTGTGTGTGTGTGAATAATTTGGAAGTGTGTATACCCATTTATTAGTTTTTCCCTATAATAATTATTTGTTAGCAGGAGTTCTGGCAATGAAACCCAAAAAATGGCACTTAATTTCATAAGTATAATATTTAAGAAATATGGTTGTTTTATGTTGAGTAAAACTACTCAAATACATATCAAAGAACAAATAAAAGTAACAGTATGGAGGAGACTGAAATATAAGGTTGCTTCACTCCCAGTCTTTCTGAAGAATAGTAAATAGTGGGTCTGAAGTTATATTTCATATCATGCCTGGTAAAGTTTATCACCTACATGAGATTTGTTTCTGGGTTAAATATTAAGATATAATATTTCTGGGAAAATGAAGAAGAAAGTATGAACACAAAAGAAAAATATGGCCCAGCTGCTACTATCATCATACAATAATAATCCACAAATAAATTCGCATTGCTTATAACTAGATAGCCTCAGATTTCTAAAGAATCATTTTGAAGGTTTTTAAAGGCATATGGTCCCTCTGGGTGTTTTGAGAGGAAAGAAAAAAATAAACTGAACTGTTACACTTTCACACAGAAATGGAGGAGTAGGAAAATAATCCCACACACTTAGTAAAAAATAAATGCTGTTTCTTTCTAATGTCATTTTGGGTTTGAGTTCATATGGAATTATTTCTAGCTATTTTTGTTTTCTTACTGACTGCTTTGGTTTTATTCCCTTCAAGAAACAAACACTAAATAATTTATAGAAATTTGGAAATAACTCGATGGAAAACAGCTTAAAATCTTTAAATGTTGAGATAGATCTAGAATAATCACAAATGCCTTCCAAGCTATCATTCAGCCTTAGGGAAAAAAAAAAAAAAAACTTGAATAACCAATTTTGGTGGGTTTGTTTTTTGAAGATTGTGGCATAAGAAAATGTTGTGTCAAGGCACTTTGACCCTTCTGGAGAAAATGTAAATATAAAATAGAATTTTAAAAACAAAAAAATCACAGTATCTGTAGTTTGAAATTCAGGGTTCATCTGAGTGCTGTTATATCACAAAAATTTGCTGAACTTAGGATTCAATTTCCTACTTCAAATTATGAGGATAATTTTAACTACCATCCAAGCAGCCAGAATCCAGATGTTTGCAGGCCCTAATCATCACATTCGTGTTCAACACCACAATACTATACATACTGATCATCCAGCAGTTAGAATGTTTCCCTTTAGGGCCAGGTGTTTGGCTCAGTGGCTTAAGTGTTTTCCTGGCAAGTGCAAGGTCATGTGTCTGATACCCAGTGCCAAAACAAGAATATTTAGCTTTACTAAACTTTCCCAATCCTAGATCATGAACCTCCAGAACCTCTGGCCTTCCTTGGTTAAAAATAGAAGTTTGTGGACCAATAATATAAAAAAAAAATTATCAATTGATTAAAAAACTGCCTTCAACATATTATTTTAATCTACTGAAAATGCATAGCTCCTAGGAGGTCACTATAACTGTAATTTTAGCAGGTAGTTAAAGAAGTTATATTTGGTCAAAAAAATCCCTCATAACACTTTTTCTATCATTCCACACAAATGACCATCTTGCTTCTTCCCCATGTCCATCCTTTATAGGGTTTTGTTGTTGGCCATTCTCCCTAGGTTTTGATATTTATTATGAATCACAGAAGATTTCCACACTCTTGATAGCATTATTTACTCTGTCTTCCCTAAATTACTCGCTGCTCAGCTTACTGCTGTCACAGAGTTTCTCCTGAGCATTGCTTTCCTAGTAGACAGACAATGTAGCCATGCCTCACTGTCCCAGGACATATTTAATTTAATTCTGAGAGCCTGTTAAGAAAAGACATGTGAAGCACAGAGGTCAAGTCTCAAGATGGCTGTGTGTTGCTAGGACAAACTGTCAAAGGATCGAATACGTGTGTACTCCTAATATCGATGACAATGAATATTTTTTCTGCCACTCATTGGCCCTGTGATTATTAAAATAAACTTTAACAACTTGAAAATTTTATTGATGAATAGTCTTCCTAGAGTTTTCTAAACTCAACAAAAAGCTTCATTATGCAACCTGGCTATCTACTCAAAGAGTAGGCTACTGTGGCATATACTTGCTTAGACAACATAAGTCCCTTTGCAGTCAAGCTTCTTTCTTTTCTTTCTTTCCAAAATGGCTGACAAGTGTCCCATTCCAGCTATTTCTATGTTAGGAATGCAAAATACACAATGGAAATATTTGTTGACCAAGACCCTGTAAAAGTAACCTGTTTTCAGCCACACTTGGAGGTTGGAGTTTTCACTTTGAAATTTGCACAGTTTGCTTATAAATTAATATTCTAATAACCACAGGTTCTTTATAAATCTTTTGACTTGGTGGTTGTGGTTATTTTATTGCCATTCAGAGCACGTAACTGATTCCTTATGGGAAGAATATCAAGAAGATAGATTTAAGTACTTTTTACTTTCTAAGAATTAGTCACAAAATAGTAGTGCAAACACAAGGCATTTACTGACTAACTTTTTTTCCTCAAAGCAAATTTATTAAAATGCCTATAAACCATCACTTCAAAAAAGCTATTTTCCTCTGGAACCTGTACTACATTTGGGGAATCCACCCACATGTCTAACAATAATTAGGTAACACAACTTTCTAAAATTTGAAGATGGAAGAGATTATTAAAAACACAATTTTAAACTAGCTCTCATTCTTGCAGTTTTCAGCCATACCTCTGTTACAAATGACTAAAATAACATACATAAAGCTCCCTCTTCTCTCAAGCTTTCTTTCTTTAAATCTCTCTCTTCACAGTCTTAATGTGAATATTTGTATGCCATAGTCATTGAGAATATCAGTTCTATTCACAAATACTTGAGTTAGAATCATTAATTGGATGTTCTTGAGCATAAAATTAAATAAATCTAATCTTTTGTTGTTTCACTTATTACACAAAAAAGAACAGGTAATGATGTTAATGTCTACTAGTTGACATAATTACAAGAATTAATGTAGGGGCCACACCAAGCGACTTTCTCACAATCAGTGGAGCTAAGGACACCTGAAGTTGTCGGTGTTGCTCCCGGCCGGCAGGAAAGACACACGACAAGGTCTGGCGGTGGTCAGGCTTTTCTTTATTCTCTCCTTATACAGTCTGCCCCGAAGCCTCTACCGGTCCGCTCTCCGCGGCTCCTTCCGTGCTTCAGTCTGCCCCGAAGCCTCTACCGGTCCGCTCCCCGCGGCTCCTTTCGTGCTTCTCTCTCGTGGCGGGAGAGGCACTCACTTTTATAGGGTTACAGTGGCCAATCAGTTCAAAGCGCGCGATGCGGGCTGATTGGCTAACATCAGTTGTTGCTAGGCAGACTATCTTACAGGGCGGGTTGTTTACCAAGCAGGAAGCAGGAGATAAGTGCCATCTTAGCACACTCGATGGGAGGGGTAATCTAGCTCAGGCTTTGCTCTTTCCTACAGGCCTCACGTCCGCCAAGTAAGGCGACCGGGCTCGGCCACGGCTCCCAACATGAAGTAAGTTCCAGCACCTGTTCCAGGCCTGGAGAGAGTTTAAGACCATCACTCCCAGTAGTTATGAGCCTTCCCAGCTTCTAGACACATTGGAGTAGGCTCCAGAGGTATAACAGGCGGACTAGACCATGCCCAGCGACCTTTGTTCAATCAGGGGAACTGAGAGCACA